GCTGAGGGCAGAGTGGAGAAAGGTGTGTAATAAGAGCAGAGTTTTGAGTGCTTAAGGTGCCAGTGGTGCAGTAGGCTGGTGCGTGAGCGCTATGCCAGTCCCGCGGCTCTGTTGGCGCACTTCAGTTTTCATGTAATGCCATCCTTATGGTCTCTAGAAGTGGTGGCTGGTGTTTTTCAAAAGAGAGGAAGGACAGGTGGTGTCAGTTGTCATGCATTTCCTTACATTAGTTTGATAGCTTGGATTGTTGCATACACTGTAAAAAGAAAGTTTCTTTAACTTAACTTTTTGAGTTCAGTTAAGGTGTATTTACTTAGAATTTTAAGTGTTTTTCAACTTGACAAATGTAGTTAATTGAACTAAGAATGTTTAGTTATAATTAGGGCTGGGTATCGAGTTCGATACTTTTTAGGCACCGACCGAATTGCCTCGATACCATCGAGTATCGAAAAACGTCTCGTCGTTCGGTACCAAATTTCGATACCTAAGGGGTTAATCTCATCAGCGTTACTGAGCCAATAAAGGCCCGGGTATACTTCACTTTCCGCGTTCCGTTCAGTCTCGCACTCAGCCGCGTCCGCACAGCTTTCAAAGTATACTTAACCGTGGATGAGTGCAGACGGACAAGCTCGACACAGGCGCAGTTTGACTTGCGCTCTGTCTCAACTTTCACCTCGCGCATGCGCTGTTGTCATGGCCGGACTTACCACTGGGCTTGAATGGGCTGCAGCCCAGGGTCCCCCCCTTGTAGGGGGCCCCGCCTTAATCCGTTTACATTTGTTCAGTTATGTGCCAGTCAGAAATTATTAGCCACATTTCAACTGCGCACACGGGCCAGCCGGGGCTAACAGCTTCCAACTACGACCTTCGAAGCCATAATCAAACAGCATAAACTGGAATTTATGAATCGCCGATTGATTTGTGATCACATGGCTACTTTAAACGGTTCAATTAAGCCTTTAGCCCAAAAGAGCGCACATTTAGAAAGATAATGATAAATTCTCACGTTCACGCCTCAATTCTTGACAGAGGATGATTCTATATTATATTAATGTTCCACTTAATTAATCTGAAGAGTTTTGAGCACTCTCTCCCGTCCAAAGACTATAGAATATATTTTACAGGGACTTTGTCATCACACAAAGTGGAGCAGAAATGTCATCAAAACGATTTAAAAAAAAAAAAATAGCCATTTACAGGGTCATGAAAAACCCAGAAAGCTTTGGAAAAGTCATGGAAATGTATTTGACAAATCTCTATATAATAGAATATATGTTTAATCATGTCCTGAATCTCGGTGCGGGATTGCGCATTTTGGTTTTACTCATTTTCGCAGGGTTCCGCAAACATTTATTTAATATACAATGTAGGTTAGATGAGTTAAAAAAATTCACACAGAATATCAGATTAAGTCAATCATTTGAAAACAGCGTGAGTGGTTCAGCTGTACCGCATCTTCTCGCTCTCGCTCTCACTCTCTCAAAATTGCTTCACATCAGCGCATCTCATCTGCACTAAGATAGCTGCTGCACACTGCAATACAAGACTTTCGCTCAGCTGACAGAACTGTCACTTGCCTAATCGGGTCAGTGTTGCATCATCACAAAAGTTTATCATTTGCACGTCTTTTTAAGTCTTTTTAAACCATTCGGTACTCGCGCGCTCCAAACTAGTTTTCTGGGCACTCACGGTCACATCCAAAGCACCCGCACATGAAGCCGCGCAAACACCTCCAGAAAAAGTTATTGTTTTCATTGTTTCTGACTCAAGTAACCTTGCATTTTAATAAATAATGTTACATAAAGACAATTAAACGGTCAGTAATAAATGAAC